AGAAAAGATACTGGTTAAGAAGACATCTGAAAATTTTCATGATATCCGAAAAATGTAAGATTTCAAAAATGCTGAGAAAATCGATTACACCAAACAGGAATCCATTACTCCAAACAGAAGAAGAAGAAGAACCCGAGTTCAGAACACCAAAATATATATATATATATATATATATATATATATATATATATATATTAAAGTTGCAATAAACAATATACCTTTCTTTCACTCTCCTCTTGTTGGTATCGTTCTTTTGGGATATAGACACCATTCTTTTCACGAGCGGCATAAACCTCTGGGGAATAATGAGAGTGTTTCACTCACTCCGTTACCAGTTTAAGGGTAATATAAAATCCAAGCACTTGACTAAATACAGAAGCAAATCAAATCATCTCACCTGCCTTCAAACGGTCTATTTCACCATAGAGATCCTTGATCAGAGTAGATTTCATCATTTTTTGATTGACCTAAGATAATGGTATAAAAAAGAAGCATAAGCGTAAGTTTAAAACTTGCCAAAAACATGAATCAATCTAAACTCTTCAAATCCAAATAACGGAAAATGCTCAAAGCTAAAAAGTTTCAACAATCCTTCGCACAATTATGATCACAAACACTAGAAATTAAAAAACCAAAAATACACGATAGATGCTCAGTGAAATGAAGAACAAACCTCTGGCTTATTCTTAATATTTTTGGCCCTGTGTGCATAATCTAGCGTACTAAGAGTTTCTTCCAGACAGTGAACGGCTGGAGAGACTGTAGCAATGATGCAAGTTTTGGTTCTTCCCCCGAGTGAATCGCGGAGTAACCGTGTAAGCTTGCTATCCCTGAAGTTCATTTAAGTAGGCAATTACTATAATATGGAACCGAAAGAGAAACGACGCATCATTAGAGCTTGTCAAAACACAAGTACTAAGCAGCTAACCTATATGGGATGTGCCCAAGATGTTCCACTAGAGCATTGATCACTCGCCCCAATGTCAATAAACTTTTGTTGATCTCCCCAGCTTCCCTTGCACGACCCTGTATTGTCATAACTAGGAATTGAGAGCACAGTGGATGCCATCTTCAGTTAACAACAAAGAAAATGATAGAAACTTCTGCTACCTCTCGGGCACCAGAACGAGATATGTTTTCTGATCCGGCTAGATCAACCAAATTTAGCTTCCCACATTTGATCAGTTCTTCACCTTCTGGTGTTGCTTCCTTAATGTGTATTGTTATGGAAAAGAGAGAATGTGACCGACTGAAATACCAAAGAACATTATCATTTTAAAGCTATTAACGTATCTTTGGATATAGAAAAACATAAAGTTAAAGCCTAAGCACCCCTTTATGTTACCTTGATTGCTTATTTAATAATGTCTCTGCAGTGCGACGTTTGGCTGACCCTCTTTCGAGTAAGTTAAAAATTTCACTGGCACTAGTAACAATTTCCTCCTCGAGACCTCTCACAAGAACACCCCCTTTGCCGTCCTCCATTAAGGGCAATTGCTTTTTCTGCTTCTCCTCCAAAGCAATTTTCGTAATCTCCTCTGGAGCAAGTAAATCCGTAATCTCCTCATTGTAGAGCTCCAAGAAGGTCACCTTCACGCTATACTCAGCATTCTGGCCCTCTAGAGTGTCAAAAATCTGCTCCACGGTTCTGGGTATAACTCCTGCTTCTGGAGGCAACTCTCCATTTGGACCACTCTGGTAGATAACAAAATCAAATTAACAAATTAAATCAACCAAAATGAGCACCAAAAGCACCACTATCAGGTAGCTGAACAAAATACCTTTGATCTCTTGCATTCCCCTTCCATTGTGTACGTTTTCCCTGTACCAGTTTGTCCATAAGCAAAAATTGTACAATTAAAGCCTTCCAAAACTTCATTAACTATCGGAACTACTGCTTGCTCGTAAAGGTCTTTCTGCTTAGCTGAAGGACCAAAAACCTGAGGCAACCAACAAACAAGAACCATAAATTGATTTAAGATTTGTACTGCCAACAAGCTAAATCAAAGAAATGCTCCTCTAAACAGAACAGGTCACGAGATGTTCAAAAATATCGTCATACATCCAACTGTTGAGCTTCATTCCTGGTGGATTGAAGAATAGAAATAATCAGAGCAAAGTAAGAATAATTTGGAAATGAGTACCTTATCGAAAGTGAAAACTCTGTCAAAATGCTTTCCAGCAATATTCTGAGACACAGTCACCTCCCTAGAATAATCATTACAAGTAACAACCTGCGGTGCATTACTTCGCAACTCTTCCTCGCTAAAAGGCCTGCAAACAAGAAAGGGGGAGCCAACAAGATCAACATGATATTCTCAAAAGCCATCCAACTAAACCATCAGAGAATATGAGCAAAATCGAAAGAAAAAAAATATCGAAACTGGAATCACTTCGGATACCTGCAACGAAGAAGGACCTGAACATTGACGCCCTTCTCCTTCTCGTGACGACCGGACATCGTTCAATCGGCGGCGAGGAAGAAAGAATCAAGAAAAATGAACAAATCCAGTGGACTTCTTCACTTGCAAAAACCAGATCTGCTCTGATTCTTACTCAGTTGTCTCTCTCCCGCTGTAATGGCGTCTTTTCTTTCTGCCTCTCTCTGTGACGCTCCAAAATAAGAACAGGCGGGATTGAAGAGAAGGATTTGAATTTTGGAGCCGCTTGCTATGTGTCTACCGTCTAATAGATCGACGGATGGACGTTGGGGAATGTTGATCCGACGGTCCAGATCACGTCCGATTTAAATACCTTTATTCGAATTTAAATGTCTATTTTACCCCCCGAAGCTTTATTCGAATTTAAAGGCTTGAAAGCCCAATGTTCTGAACATGACCCAATAAGTGAGATAATGGGCTTGGCTCAATATTGCCGGCTTCCGCCCGAACTCTTTTTTCTTTTAAATTAATATAATGAATATTCTTTTTTATGATATCTTCAGAAATTTAAAAAAGCTAATAGATAATTTATCTAATAAATATAAAATAAATTTTTTATTTAGTTAAAAAAAATTCTGATCTATTGCTAAATAGTTTTTAAAGTATATAATCTATTAAACATAAAATAAAAAAATTTTAACTCGTGATAAATGTCAAATATTAAAATAGTTATGAAGATTAAGAATATGTTGTGTTTATAACAAAGGTTAGTGATGCATTATGACTTATTAACGTATGATATTTTAATTATTAATATAACGTATTGCGATAAATATTATTTTCTTAAATAATTAAAAAAACAAAAAATATATATAGAGAGAGTTAGATTTGGTGGTGAACGATATTCGAGTCATATGGATAACCAATCCAATCAATAAAAAAAATCAATTCTACCCGTGCGTATCACTACTCCTTACCTTACAAAAATATATAATTAAGTATTTTAGTATTAAACGACCAATCATTGTTAAATTATAGAGGAATGTTACAATTAAATCGTGGAATTATAATATTATTACGTCAATTTAATAATACATGAGTATATAAGTTACAAGTTACCATATATGTATGTATGTATAATATTAATTATATTAAAATTAAAAGTTTGAAGATAATGTTAAGTTATTTTTAGTGTGAAAGGAAACAAATAAGTTATTGGAGTTTTAATTAGGTGTGAGATTTATCAACAAATAGAATGATTTGCAAACAATTAATGTCACGTGCATGAGATTCTTAATTACACACATGCAGTTTGTTAGTTAGAGACGCGTGTTTCTTACGCTCCAATTAAAGCCCCTATGTTATAGGTTGCAGAAATACCTAATTCTTAAAAACAAATCTATATTAATTACTAGATTATCTCTCAAATATTTAAAACATGTCTCGATAGATTTTCACACATTTTATAAATAATACTTCATTTAGTTCTACAATCGATGTCGTACCTCGCACAATATCATGAGATCTCACGTCGTTTAGAAATGAGAACAAACTTTTCTACGGTGAAAGCGTTTTAAAATATTTAAAAGAATCTCAAATATGATAATATCTGCTAGTAATTGGTTTGAGTTGTTCCCAATAGTATAAGAGCGAGTTAATTGACAGTGCGAGACACTAGTCGGAATAGGCTCGACGCTTTTCATAGTATATTCATTTCAAAACCTTAAAGAAGATCTAAAAGGGAAAGCTCAAATAAGACAATTTAGTGGACATTGATTATTGTAAATAGCTTGTTCATAATTTTAAATTTTTTACGGTTATGTTAAATTATAAATTCGACTGATTAATAAATCATTAGAATTTTAATATTTGTGTCCAACGAATCATTAATTTCAAATCAAATTGAAAATTCAAAGACTAATTGAACCGACAAATTTTTAAATTCAAAATTAATCTTACGAGTTAACAAAAAAAATTTATTAAATGAAAAGTTTGACTTTGATTGAGTAGTTCATTCAAAACTTCCAAGAAAATGGTATACTATAAAGTCTCTAAACTATGCTTCTATGTCCAATTAATGTGGCCTAACAATCGAGTTATTGCAACTAAGCCTAATCTAGTTTTATACAGCCCATTCTAGTCTTATATAACGTGAATTATTTGACTTTAATTAATATTTACTTCTCTTTACTCATTATATTTTGTCTTAATCTCTCCTCTAAAATGCATTAAAATTATAATAAAATTAGGTAAATATAATTTACAATAAATAAATAAATTCATATAATAATTTTTTTTTTTATATTATTAGATTTGACCAAAATAATTAAACACCATAAATGGTCAGACAATGCATTTTTTTTTATAACAGCGATCCATTAATTTGATTGATATCAAATAATTTAATTAAAGTGGCAGGTTATAAAATCTTTCGATTATGTATTTATATCCAAACAGCACACGGTATAAATTATGTTTTTACATGACATTTGTAAAATTAATCAATTAATTTATCTTAAAAATGTTATTAAAAAATATTTAGACAATTAATAGAACAAAAAAAATTTGACTAGTGAAGGACACATGACCGTCGTCTCTATTACCGGTACAACAACTACAACAATGGACCGCCATTAATACTCACACAAGAAAAGCTTTCATAACCTTTCTATAAATACCAAAGCTGCTGCTTCTTCCAAACAAGTAAACCTGTCAGATTTCCCATTAACTTTTCATCTCAAATTCTCCGGCCGCCGTGTACTGCTTGTTTTTTCCTTTGAAATGGAAGGTTCCATTAGCCGCCGGCGAGTCGCTGCCTGCACAGAAACCGCCTGGTGCCGCGCCGTCCCGGGCGGAACCGGCACGGCGGTGATAGCTCTATCCTCCTCCGACGTCCCAAATCTCCAACTTCTCCAAAATGCCCTTCAGGAACTCCAAAATTCCCACCCTATCCTCAAATCCAAACTCCACTTCAATCCCATTTCTTCCACTTTCTCCTTCCTCACTTCACCGACTCCTTTCGTTCAAATCAAGACGTATGAACTTCCAGAAACTTCTAAAATCCTAAATGACCAAAATGTCCTCAACTACCACAAAACCCCTCACGACATTTCCATTTCCCCTCTCCAGATTATCCTCGAACACGAACTCAACGAGAACTCCCCTTGGCAGACCCTACACTACTCCGACACGGCGGCGGCTTCCTCGGCGGACATGTTGTTTGTTAGCTTGTACGAGGTTGGCTCAGGTAAATGGATCGTCGTGTTCCGGCTCCACGTGGCAGCGTGTGACCGGACCACAGCGGTGTCGTTGCTGGAGGAGCTGCTCCTTTTGATGAACGGCGGCGGCGTAGATAAAACAGGGGAAGTGGAGCTGGGCATGGAGGATCTTGTTCCTAGAATGTTGGCGAAGAAATCAATGTTATCCCGAGGACTGAATGTGATCAGCTACTCCGTTAACTCTTTGAGATTAACGAATCTGAAATTCAAAGACGTAAAGTCCGCGAGACGATCGCAGGTGGCGCGGCTCCAGATGAACCGGACTGAAACCCACAAGATTCTCTCTGTAAGTACTACGATTAGCATTATTAATTATCATTATTACATATAATTTATTTTAATCAAATTAAGTAACCAAATTATTGAATGCAATTAAAATAAGTTTAAAATTCTTAATAATTTAAAATAAAAATAAGTTTTAATTATTTTTTAAATCACGAGATTGAAACAGTGCGCCGAAACAATAGTTTAGGCATTTCATCATTTTGGTGCTGGAATGCAATGTTCACTTGTCGAACCACATTTGTTGCGTAATAAATAATTTTATATAAATATTTGTAGACTATAAAAAGATGAGTGTAAATCAAAATAATTATTTAATATATATAAATAAATAAATAAATAATCAAAATAATAATATAATATATATAAATAAAAGAAGAAAGTAATTCATAGGTTTAAATATATAGGCTGTCTAAGTCCAAGCTCGATGGCAGGAATGCAAGTCGAGAGGGATAAAGTTGAGTTCGGTAATGGTGGCGGCGGGGCTGGTGGCGACGCATAGCTCCGGCAGCCATGGGTTGGACCGGCATCAACGGAAGTACGGAATCATAACGCTGATAGATTGCCGGCGGTTTCTGGAGCCTCCGCTGAGATCCAACCATTTCGGTACGCATCGTCTTTCGTGTCATTAAACAAACCACATTTAATTTCAACCATTTCTTTCCACTTGCGTGATTTTGGATGCTTTTAAGTGGATGCTTTGATGTCGTAATCCTTTCCATTTTCGAACTCTCTCTTTTTTTGGTAGCTATAGACATTAATTACATATGCCGTTTCTGTTTCTGAATCGATGTTTAGAAATTAAAATGTCTATTTAATAAGCCTTTCCCTTTTCTTTTATTTTCAAATTAATACTTTAAAAATATAATATATCGACCATATTTTAAACAGTTATTTATATTAGAATATATTTTTTTCAAACACGTTTTTGATAATATAATTATGTTTTTATTAATTCTTTTTTGTTTTTTAATTTCTATTTTTAGAATAGATATGGAAAAGATGCTAAATTAAATGTCTATTTAACAAGACTTTCCTTTCTTGTTTTTTTATCTTTTTTATTTTTTAGTAATTAACTTTATTTTTAAATGTCTATATAATTTTTTACTTAAATTTTAAATCAAAATTAGAATGAACATGCTGTATTTTTTTTTTTATATATATATTTATTGGATATTTTTTAGTTAACGTTTTATTTTATTTTTTTTAGAAGAATTAGAGAATGAAACAATATAGTTAAAAAAAATTAAAAAAAAAAAAACTAGTTTAGGGTTATTTTGTATAAGTTAAAGATTAATTATGCCAATTGGACTGAAAATTTGAGTTTGAATATTAAAATAAAATTACAAAAAGACTGTAACGTCCTTGGAATCTTCAGGATTTTACCATGCTGCCATCTTGAACTCTTACACTATAAGAGGAGGAGAAGAGCTGTGGGAGCTAGCAAAGAAAATCTCGACGACATTGGAGGCTTCCAAGAACTCAAACAAGCACTTCACCGACATGTCGGACCTAAACTTTCTGTTATGTCGTGCCGTCGAGAACCCAAGCCTCACAGAATCAGGAGCAATGAGGACATCGCTAATGACGGTGTTTGAAGATACGGTGGTGGACAATTCAGGTGCAATGCAGGCTGAGATCGGCGTCAAGGACTACATAGGCTGTGCCTCTACCCACGGCATTGGCCCGTCCGTCGCCGTGTTCGACACGATTAGAGACGGGCGGCTCGACTGCGCGTGTGTTTATCCAGCTCCGTTGCACTCCCGGGAGCAAATGGAAGCTCTGGTTGATAACATGAAGGCTCTTCTCGTTAAGGGATGAAGGATGGTTTGCTTTTATTGCGAAAGAAAATAAATTATAATACTATTTTACTTTTTTTTTTTATGGTATTTCTAAACTTATTATAGTGAAATTAAGTAATTTAATGAGTTAAATTACCAAACTCATTCTATTTTAATTATTAATTTCATTTGAAAAATATAAGATAAAAATAGAATAAATTTAGAAATTTGAAAGTTTGTGGGCCTCACGTTTTACGCAGGTATAAAATATTGTGGAATCTTAAAAAATCGCAAATCCGACGTCGTTTTAGCGTTCCAAATCGTTTCTTCTCCCCTTGGACCATCGTCTTCTTCCTATTATCTTCTTTTGAAAGCATCAGATTTCCTACGGCTGTAGTACCCTCTCTGTACTCCCACCGTCACCGCCTCCAAAATGTCCGATGAGATCAGGATCCGTCCCGTCGGCGGCACCGAGCACAGCTGGTGCCGCGCCGTTCCCGGTGGCACCGGCACCACCGTTCTCGGCCTCCTCCTCTCAAAACCTCCCGATATATCCCATCTCCAAGCCTCCCTCCACAATCTCCAAAACCTCCACCCAATCCTCCGCTCCAAAATCCACCACGATCCTTCCCGACGAGATTTCTCCTTTCTTATTCCCCCTTCTCCGTCGATCCATCTCCAGATCCTCGATCTCGCCGCTGCCGCACGTGCCATCGCCTCTCATCCCGACGCCGACGATCCTTCCATCTCCGATTTTCACAAGATCCTCGAGCACGAAATCAACCGCGCCAAGTGGCTCAATCCAAGCCATCCATCCTATTCCGATACTGATGTGATGTTCGCCACCGTCTACGCCGTCAGCGACGGCCAATGGGCGGTGTTTCTCACCCTCCACACAGCGGCTTGCGACCGGGTTGCAGCGGCGTCTCTGTTGCGAGAGCTGCTCGTGCTTACGGCGGCGGAAGGAAAAATCGAGGGCGGAGGATTTAAAATCGGGGATAATGGTGAGATTGGATCGGGGATTGAGGATCTAATCCCTAGCGGTAAAGCGCACAAGCCTCTGTGGGCGCGTGGATTGGACATGCTTGGTTACTCGTTGAATTCTTTCCGATTCGCAAATTTGGAATTCAAAGACGCGAGTTCTGAGAGATTTTCTCAGATGATTAGGTTGAAATTGAACTCCGATGAGACCCAGAAACTTCTGGCTGTAAGTCATTGTTTTTCTCTGCAACTTTTCCTTTCATTTTCTCGGGAAAATGTTTAATGGGACCCTCTTTCTATCTCAAAAGCCAATCAGATTTCATTTTAGTCTAAAGGATAATTAATTTACAATTTTATACTCAATATTTTAATTTTTAGTATTTCCCCATTTTTCGTTCTTTTAATTGATATAGTTATTGGGAGCATAATAATATGTATAGGGTATTGTCTCTAATCAGTATTAATTTAAAGAGGAATGGGTTTTATTAAGGTACGGTATGGTGTAGCAAGTCAATCTTGGTAGTGTGAGGTGTCCACGCTGTCACCGTCGGTTGGCTATGTAAATATTGAATCTTGGGTGTTGTGATATGAATGTTTGAAGGGCTGCAAATCGAGAGGCATTAAGCTGTGTGGAGCTCTTGAAGCTGCTGGATTGATAGCTACTCGATGTTCTAAAGACCTTCCTCCTCATCAGACGGAGAAATATGCTGTGGTTACCCTCATCGATTGTCGTTCCCTCCTTGATCCTCCCCTCACAACCCACCATTTAGGTAAATTCTCAAATATCGATTGTCGTTCAAATCATCCGTTGTTGAGTTAAAAAAATATGATTAATTTTTGTCTTTTTCGGTATATTTTAGGATTCTATCACTCTGCCATCCTCAACACACACGACATATCAGCTGAAGATACTCTATGGGAAGTGTCAGAGCGATGCTATTTTTCCTTCTCAAATGCCAAAGACAACAACAAGCATTTCACAGACATGTCTGACTTGAACTTTCTCATGGGCAAAGCGATCGAAAATCCTGGCCTCACTCCATCCTCATCCATGAGAACGGCCCTAATCTCGGCGTTCGAAGACCCGATCATCTACACATCTGACCCTGCTCAGCAGCACCTTGGCATATCTGATTACATTGGTTGTGCCTCCGCACACGGTGTCGGACCATCGATCGCCCTCTTCGACTTGATTCGTGACGGTCAGTTGGATTGTGCTTGTGTGTACCCGTCGCCTTTGTTCTCCAGAGATCAAATGAACCAACTTTTTGATGAGATGAAGAAAATTTTGGTGAGTAGTGCCATGGAAGTAGTTGAAGGCTAGAAGTTTAGCTCGATTCTTGAAATGTGTATGTGCCTCTTGTTTTTATGTAATTTTTATGATGCAATGTTGTTGCTCTTTTGCCTCGTAAATGTTGGTGACAACAGAAAACTGAATTGAGATTGAGAGGAGGAGTGATTTGAATGATGGGGAGGGAGGTCTTTTTATAGGGGATTCCAGAGTTGGTTGAGATTTTCTAGGGTGATTCCGTAGTCGGTTGAGAGATTTTTGTGGATGAATTTGAATTTGAAACCAATTCAAATTCTATTCTATTTGAATTTGAAACCAATTCAAATTCTATTCTATTATTAGCTATTATTAGTTTCAACACCCTCCCTTAAACTGAATTCTGCCTAAATCAGTTTAGGACTTCATTTCATCTTCTTGATATACATCTTGGATTCTGCATATCCCCATCTTTCTTCTGAGCTTCTCGAACAATGGTTGTTTCAAGGGCTTTGTGAATAGGTCTGCGATTTGTTCATCACTTCGGCAAAAGTTGAGTTCAATAATGCCTTCTTTACACAAATCACGCAAGAAATGAAATTGAACATCGATGTGCTTGCTCCTTCCATGCAACACAGGATTTTTAGACAACTTAATAGTTGACATATTATCACAATATATAACCGTCGTACTTGGTTGCTTCTGATTAAGAATTTCAAGCATTTTTCTTAACCAAATTGCTTGGCACGAGCATGCTGCTGCTGCCACAAATTCTGCTTCTGTCGTTGAGAGTGTTACAATAGGTTGCTTCTTTGAAGACCAGCAAATAGCTCCTGAACTCATCAAGAAAATACTTCCTGAAGTACTTTTACGATCGTCTATATCACCTGCATAGTCGCTGTCTGTATAGCCAACTATCTTCGGATCATCTCCTTTTTTGTAGAATACCCCCAAATCAGAGGTTCCTCTCACATAACGAAGTATCCTTCTTGCTGCATTGAGATGTTTTTCCGTTGGATGCTCCATGTAACGACTTATCATACTAACCGCATACATGATGTCTGGTCTTGTTGAAGTTAGGTACATCAAACTTCCCACAATTTGTTTGAAATACCTATTATCAACCTCTCGCCCGTCAATGTCCTTGTGCAACTTTAAGCCCAATTCTGATGGAGTTCCAAATGTGCGCTCATCCAATTTAAATCTTTCAAGTAATTCTTGAGCATACTTCTTCTGACAGATAAAGTTACCTGCGGGAGTCTGAGTAACTTCTACTCCAAGAAAATATCTCATCAAGCCAAGATCTGTCATTTCAAATTCCTTCATCATGCTCTTCTTAAAAAATTCAAACATTTCTTCATTATTGCCAGTAAATATTAAATCATCAACGTATAAGCAAATAATGATAATGTTACCTCCCTTTTCAGTTTTCACATACAACGTATGTTCATACGGGCATTTAGTGAATCCCATCTTTTCAAAATGAGAATCAATGCGACTGTACCATGCCCTCGGAGCTTGCTTCAAACCGTACAAAGCTTTCTTCAACTTGTATACTTGTTCCTCTTTGCCTTTTTGAACAAAACCTTCTGGTTGCTCCACATATACTTCCTCTTGAAGCTCTCCATGTAAGAAGGCTGATTTCACATCAAGTTGATAAATAGGCCAAGATTTCTGTGCTGCAATAGAAATTATGAGCCTGATAGTGTCTTGACGTGCCACTGGTGCAAATACCTCCTTATAATCAATTCCATACTTTTGCTTATATCCTTTTGCAACAAGTCGCGCCTTGTACTTATCCACCTCACCATTTTCATTCAACTTGGTTTTGAAAACCCATTTTACTCCGATTGTTTTCTGCCCTCTAGGAAGATCAGTGAGCTCCCAAGTCTTGTTCTTCTCTATGGATTTGATTTCACTGTCCATAGCTTCCTTCCATTTCTTCTCTTTTACTGCCTCTTCATAGACAATTGGATCACTATCCATAAAGAATGCAAAATAACCACTATCACTTGATTCATAATCCATCTCATAATCAATCATCCAGATTGGTCTTTTTCTTGTTCTTGGATGTCTTTGATTTTGATCATGATCTTCTTCTACTGGTTCTTCTTGTTGAGCTTGTGATGAGCTCTCTCCATGCTCATAGTGAGGCTGAATAGGAGCTTCAGTTTGTTCTTCTTCAAGATCTACAGGAATCTGCTGATTCACAGTGATCTTTTCTTCCCATGTCCAAGTCTTATTTTCGTCAAAGACTACATCACGACTTACCACCACCTTCTTTGTCAAAGGATCGTAGAGCTTGTATGCCTTAGAGGTCTCGCTTACTCCAAGGAACACACACTTCAAACTCTTGTCCTCAAGTTTCTTCCTTTTCTCATCAGGAACGTGTGCATATGCTATGCACCCAAAGATTCTAAAGTGGTCTACTGCAGGTTTTCTTCCGCTCCATGCTTCTTGTGGAGTCATGTCTCTGACAGAAAAGGTAGGGCTCCGATTGAGAATGTGAACGGACCACACAACAGCTTCTGGCCAGAATTCCTTCGGGACTTCTCCTTTATTTAGTAAACTTCGAACCATGTTCAGAATGGTCCTGTTTTTCCTTTCGGCCACACCATTTTGTTGTGGTGTATATGCTGTTGTTAATTGCCTCCGTATGCCCTTCTCTTCACAAAATTGAATAAACTCTTTCGAGCAGAATTCTCCACCTCTGTCAGTTCTTAAAACCTTGACTCTTCTTCCAGTTTCGGTTTTCATAGTAGCACAAAATTTTTTGAAGCAGTCAAAGGCTTCTGATTTGGCGTGCAAGAAATAAGTCCATGTTTTTCGACTAAAATCATCGATGAGGGTCATGAAATATTTCTTGTTGCCATTTGATGCAGGAGAGATGGGACCACATATGTCTGAATGAATCAACTCCAAAATTGCTTGAGCTCTTCTTGATTTTCCAGATGGAAAAGAGTTTCTCTCATGTTTTGCTACTACACAGCTCTCGCAAATTTCCATCGGTGGAGTAATATCTGGCAACCCAGTTACCATCTTCTTTGAGGACAACGTCTT